TCACACACGATCCATGTACGCTGATAGTGGATTTTTCGTATTTGGAACATTTATATTTGCTCCGTTATTTCCTTATCAATAAATTTCAACATGAGATAATAATTTTAATATTAGATAGATTTTAAACAGTTGAGGATTTTTCGCACGTTATCAAGTAAATAGTTGACATTGTTCAAACTTCAGCGTAGCGAATTAAACTTTGGATTATCGTGGCGAAATTTAATTACACAATATAGAATAACTCGAAAAATGCAATATTTGAAAGCACTTGAAAAGGATGGAAAGGAACGGTCTAGATATTCAGCTTTAGACTTTTTAACTCGGGAATTTCAGTCGCAATTTTAATTTAAGACGATCAATAGCGAACACAGTTTTAAATGAAGTATTCAGACTTTATTATTTCTTTGCACTCAGTAATTTAATGTAAACTAAATGTACGTTTACTTACTTTCAACAACTACTCAAGTCGTGTTCACATACCTTATTAAAAGCATTTTCAAAAAAAAAATATATATATTTTAATGGGTTAATAAATAAATGAAAAACAAATAAAAACGTTCTTTCTTCTGCTTTGCTTTGTAAGTCTTTCGCGTCATGGCGTCATATTAACCAGCTAACGAAATCATGATCTATGATCCATTCCATGCCAGTAGGTAATTTCCAGTTTATTTTCCTGCACAAATTACGTGTACTAAAAGAATAAACAGGGCTTGGAAGATGAGATTTCCTTTCCCCTTTTAGGAGAAAACCGCAGTTCTCGATGATAAATCGATCACTGGAAACATATTTTCCTGTGCGCGACATTAACTAAAACCTGCCATTGTACCATACTAATATTGAGCGTATTGAATTAAATTGTATTACCTGTTTAAGCTGAGGTATGCAGCATATCAATCAAATATGAATAGCATTAGAATGATAGTTATTATACATGTTATTATACATGAAATCATATCTGCATACTATCATCCAATGTTACATCGCATGCATGTAACGTGTCCGTTGCACCAGCGACATAAACTTTGAACTTTCGCTTAATTAACGAACTTCGGGCCGTTGTGTGTAAATATCCAATATAGCCCATAAAAATACTTTACAAAATAGAAACAGAGAGACAAACTAGAATGGGATAATCTTTGTAAACCGGCTGGAGTTAACTTGGTGGATGGCATCGGGAACAGTTCGTATATAAAGCGGCGATTTTCAAGCAAACTGCGGAAATAACAGTTATAAACTACAAGACAAACATGTTTTCCGAACGGAGCCGCTTTCTAGGCTCTGTGCTCTTTCATATTCGACTTCCAAGGCTTCATTTACATGAAAAATAGTTAAAAAGGAAACTGATTTATAATTAAATAATGTCCTTAATTACAAAGCTCGATACGTTGTTTATAGACTTGTTCAGCGTTGTAGATGTTTCGTGTTATGTGGAATGACTGAGCGTATTGTTGTTAGGCGTGGACAATACAGTAAACCAAAACATGTTTCATTACAAAAAAAAACATTTAATGGCGTTTAAATGTGCTACATTTTGTTGCTGTTTAAAAAGGAATTTTACTTGTAAGCGAATATTAGGAAAATGCCGCTAACTTTCACCCCCCGAATTGCTTAAATTCAGTGGGCCTCAAAATTGCTAAAACCAACTGAAAAATTATACAACTCAAATGTTTACACAGTCAAATAATTACAATTGTTCCAGTTAAATCGCTTGCAGAGCATTTTTATAATCCCTCGTTCCCAGCGCAAGTTTTATCATCCAGATTACATTAACTTTAGACATGTTTTGTATGCGCAGCATTAGACAGTTCAAACAACTGCTTCCAAAGAAATATTTACAGGTGAGTTAAGCTTTTGCAACTTTTGTTTGAAACTGATGAGTTTTTCCAGCATTTACGTCACCGTGGAAAATTATTCTTTATAACGTTTCGCAAGCACGAGTGACTTGCATCTTCAGATGTGGTATTATCGACACAGCAACTACGTTTGAAGATGTAAGCGACCCGTGCTTACAAAATGTCAAGAATAAATTATTTTTCACGATAAAAGTTGGAACGAACACCACGATTAATTGAGACAAAAAATACATAATCGCATCATGTTTAAATTGCTTTTGGAAATTACTTAACTCGCCTTACTTTTAACCCATCGTATCAAGCACTTATTAAGAAACACAGTTGACACAAATTTGATTATACGAAGCTAAATTGTAGTTAATTTAATTTTGAAGTCCCCCATTTTTGTCAGTCTTGTCACAGAATGGTTCATAAATAGCAATTTATTTTATAAATTGCTATTTATGATTTATAAAACAAATAAATAGTAAATAATCATATTATTTATAAAACAAGCTTAATTTTATTTGGTACAACAGAACCTATTAATTTGAATGTGTATAGCCAACAACTAATTGAAATTAGTATAAAAGAAAATGGAGTTACAAATGCATGGTAGAATTCTATAATCGCGATTATATAAAAACGAACGTTAGTTGAGTGCGTTTTTCTGGTCCCAACAACTAATTGGAAGTAGAAAAAAAGAAAATTGAGATTCAGATGCACTTGGAATTCTTAGAAGATAGTCGCGATTGTATCATAAAAATTAAATATTCCCTGTTAACGTTGATTCAGGGCGCTTTTCACGTCCAGAAATTAAAAGCAATTAAAAATTGATGATAAATCTTCAAGCTTTAGGACCCGGGAAAATTTTAAGACGATGGAACTTGCAAAAGTTAACGAAAAATTCATTAAGTTAAACGTTTTAAAAATTAATTTTCTCAGTTGTTTTTGGTATCAATTTGTATCAAAAATTCACATAAAGCAAACTAAGCAATCTAACTTTTTGCAATGTTTTTTTTTTATTCCTAATGTTATAGAGTAACATATATTTTGCACAAGGAAATTGAAAATGATTAAAAATTCTGCAGACTTTAAGACGATAGAACTTGTAAAAGTAAACGGAAAATTAATCAAGTTAAACGTTCATTTTCATCAATTTCAATTTATTCAATAAGTTCATTTTTATCAATTTTGAGTATGCAATTTTGTATACAAAATTCAGATGAAACAGACTAAGCAATCAAATTTTTTATTACGATTGACTATACTTTACGACTGTTTATTGGAGGTCCAGCCATTAAAAATAATAATTCCTGGTGGTCATTTTGAGAACAGTAGCATACATATTTTTTCGCCTCGCAAAAACAGACTTTCTTAATTAATAAGAAATGAAACAAACGGAATAATTGAAGCAATAAACCAGACACAGATTTACGTTCGTCAATAAAATAAACTGTAATGACGAAGAATGTCCCAACGCCGACCCTGAGTTAATTAAATACAATCTCATTGCAACAAATTGGGTAAATTGCTTCTTACGATCAATGTGTCAAGTTTTATCAAAATCTGTTAAGTAGCTTTTGAGATAAGTATTGTATTTTTGAGAAAAACATTGTTCAAATTAATTACAGAAGAAATGTATTTAATATCTAATACTTTGTGTAATTCTAAAATAGTGCACAATCGTCACGCTAATATGGTTTAAAAACATAAACTTTCCACGAGACATATGTAAATGTACACTCTGTATTTTATTACATAATCCCGAAAAGCCGATGTTTTCAAGCCCTTTTTATTAGTTAAACAGCATAACTGATATTTCTTCTTGGTTAATAATCTTATTACTTTTTGTTTTCATGAAAATTAGGAACAGTTTTACCACTATTAACGAATGTTGGTTTGTTTCACTTGTAAGTGAAAAGAATGAATTTGTAGACTTTACAACACCGGAAAAATTATGAAACCTACATATTGTGAAGCCTTGTCTTTTAACATAAGAATATTTCTTGCAAACCTGTCCAATTTACTTGAAATTCGTCCATTTTCCCAAGCTTAAGTCCGCGCTAGACAAATTCATTGAAAAATAATATAGAGATTATTAATATCTTGAAATGTATAGATAGGTTCTATATGGTTGAAGCGGATTCATGTCTTCTGAACAATAATAATCGAACAACAAATCTTAGAAGGAGCAAGCAAAGCTTTATTATGAGAAATACTTCAATTTTATACGTGAAATACTTACAACACTAATTAATAACGTTTTGAAAGTAGATTAATCAGTTAATAATACCTGCAAAATAGAAATTTAATTCGAAAGCAAATCCAAAACAATAAATTTGAAAAATCGCTTTCATGAAAGAACAAGTAAATAAAGAAATCTTGAATGTAAAAATTAAACAATTTCTCAGCAACGCAATTATGAATTTATTCAATTCCGCTAAAAAACTTTCCGAAGCTTGACTGAATTACGAGTATAGGAAAATAACTAAAACTTTACCAGAAGAATAACGGGAATAATTTCGTATGATCGAAAATTATTTATAGATAATAGATACGTTACAATAGAACGGAAAAGACGAAAAAAACACGGAAAATTGTTCCAAAAATTACACCTGATAATCTCAGGCACCCTGAGGACCGCTTTCGAGCTCGATCTTATAGTTCTTGTCAGCTGGGTTTAGCCTGAAAACAACACTCTTCATACCCGTAGTTTCTTTCCCCCATGCATTTTACATCGGCGGGAGAGTAAATTTGTGAAAATCGGAAAAGAAAATTTTAAAAGCTGATGCAGGTGTGAAATCGGTCTGAGACAATAATTGTTAAATTAATCTGTAATACAATGAAAACATTTCGAAATAATTTAAAAACCCTATAGGATAATTGTGAAAATTTGTAACTGCTTCAGCAGATTATATGATAAACTATTTAGTCATCGTGACGCCATTTCATTTACGACGCATATTCCGAACTTCATATCACTAGTATTCAATGATTATCAAACATTTAACAGTAGAATCTAGTACCCATAAAGCGATGTTAATGGTACCCTATAAAGTAGTTTCCATTACTTATTCATAGATTTATATGGATATATACACCTGGCCTAACACATATACATGTAAAATAATGCGGTGAAGTAGAAATGTTGAAAATATTGCTCACCTCTCCTTGATCCATCCTGCCTTCAGGCGTATTTTCCGGCAAAAAGTACAGACGCAAGCTAGCCAAAGTCTGTTCACTATTTTTATCCGTCCACAATAATTGTAATTCACCGATGCACAATAAATCTGAGTCCCGCCACATTTTCACAAAGAAAAACTCACTGAGAGTTATAATTTTTTTAATGCCGTTCTTCGAATATCTGAAGGCCTTGTAGAACGTGTAAGGCCCATGTTGGCCGCAGGGGCCACCAACCAACTGCAACAAACAAACAAATATAAATACCATTTTACAAAAATAATTTAAATTTAAATAAAGTTACTGCAAGTAAAAACGTCCGTTCAGAATGGGGTAAAATGCTCCCTAAACCCCCAGCCAGACAAACATCGCAACTAGTTCTAAAGCATATTTATGTATGTAACATCTATTTGTATATCCCTCATTATAAATTGCCGCCATTCTTCTTGCGCCTCTTTCACATTCCCTATAAATGAAATGAATCCCATCAATCTCAGTTCTTTCTGCTGAGTTGGCACGATTTGGCTAAAAGTGGGAATCCCAAGCAAACAAAAATTCCAATAAGGCCAATTTTGTTAAAAAGGACGATAAACATTAAAATCTAATTGATCTGTTGTTTCATTAATAATTTAACAGCTGATATTTTTAGTTTGGGATTAAACATTAAAATTATTGGTGTTTTTTATAATTTGAAGATTTATACGAAATTATATAACGCGCCTCAACATTTTCTCTCCGATCAACACAGGATATTGCATAAAAATAATACAAAAAAATTAAAGAAAACTAGACGAATTAATTTGAAAGTGATTTAGCAGGGAAAGTTTAGAAAAAACGCACTTGCTGACATTTGCATTTAAATAGTTGATTATCATAGGACATGACCAAAGCTCCCAAAAAACTAATTTCTCCGATAACCACATCAAATGGAAAAGTATCTATGTAAATTTGAACAACGCTATTCAACATCCCCTAAATGAAGAAAAATGTTCAATGAAAAAAGGTTCTCAGTCAGGTAGTGTAACATAATAAACTAATCGATGCCGAATGAATCAAGGGGACGAAGGTTACAAAAGCGAATGAAGAATTACAGTATGACAAAGATAGATTTCTATAAAGATAGCTGTGTTCGGAATGGAACAAAATTGAAACAGCTATAAATATTATCCAAGGCGGGATCGAATAGGAAAATACTATTTCGTTATTTGCGCTTTCAGATAAAATTAACTGGAATCATACATTCAGACAACAGAGTACAATGCGTTCATTATTCAAGCGCAAATCATCATTAGTTGTTCAGCTGGGAAAATGTTCATTTTAACTCACGATTCATTTCAAACGCTTTACTACAAGGTGTTATTTTCGTTTATATTCTCATTTGTTATTAGACTCAAAACTTCACCTTATTGGGTCAATGGCGTGCCAATGCATTTAAGGTTTAAGTAACGTAAGCGAAATAGTTAATTTTCAAAAGTGTTAAAAATTATATCTTATTTTCTGAAACTTCAACTGCAACTATTAGCAAAATGTAAAACTCGAATATTTCAACTCCTTGTAATTTTATCCGGATTATTTACATTTTAAATATAAACAAGGCTTTAAACGTTTAAACATTTAATTTCAAACGCTGTACTACAAGGCGATATTTTAGTTTATTTCTCAATTGATATTCTTATTGATATTCTCAATTGATTTTAACATAAAACTCCACTTTATTGTGTTAATGGCTTGCCATGCATTTAAAGTTAACGTAGCTTAAAAAAAAAACGTTTATTTTCGCAAGGTCTGTTTAAACTTATAATTTATTTACTGAAACCACAATTTATTTATAATTTTATTTTTTTAATTCATAATAACATAATTTATTTACTGAATTTTTTAACTCTTTATAATTTTAGCTTGATTACTTAAATCACTTTAAATATGAAGAAGGTTTGAAACGTGTTATTTTCGTTTATATTCTGATTTGATATTAAACATAAAATTCTACCTTATTATTAAGAAACTTTAATAAAACATTATTTTTTCAAGTCGCAACGGCACCTCTTTTAGCAAAATGTAAATCTCAAATATTTCAACTCTTTATAATTTAAGTCTGAGCATTTAAACAAATTTTATATTTAAAATCCGCGAAAAAAATTATAGACATTTCTTGCATGAAGAACGTTTCAAAGAAACGACATTTTACACTGTTCATCGTGTTGAATTTAGAAGCAATAAATAAACTGAGTACATGATTAGATTGAAAAATTAGCACGGCAAAAAATGGTTTACCATTATTGGTTCTGTAATAAAGTTCTGTATTAAATAGAAGTACCTACAGTGTACACACACATACACATTGGGAGTGTTTAAGTTTCAGGCAAATGTGATTCCAGTATGTATTATGACTCAACGCAATCGGTAGTATTTCTAGAAATAATAAAGACGTAGAAAAGCACTAGATCACCAATATTATTAACCGTATTAGAAAGATATTTCCAATGTCGCTTTCAGGGAATTTCTAATAACAAACATGGCATTGGTGACGTTCAAACACTCACATTTATTCATAAACAAACATAATACATTCATTCATATGCACATCTATGGCGTACGGATTTATTATTCGATTTCATTGTGTTCCACATTCAAGAGTTAATTTAAATTTTTATTCTAAAAATCGTTCAAGCAACAAATGTGAAAGCTTGAAATATCAAGATTTTTAAATATGGTTCCCAATTTCTGGGTTACAGTATAAAATTGTTCATAATTGTTCAATAATATTGCATATAAAAAACAAGTTTCTTTAAAGCTAACTACTATTTGGAAAACATATAAAACTGAATGTAGAAGAAAGCAGTAACGTACGTATAACCATGTCATTGAACTGGGAATTAATTATTCGGGGGTCTTCCCCTTTTCTGCTTTTACGGCTTGTTCAATCACATGAAATGCAATAATACATTTTCACAACAGTGTATATTCATTGCTATTTTCCAACTGAACTAAATGGAAGATGTTAGCGTCATTACGAGGCCAGCTTTTAGTAGCTTTATTAATATTTATTTATATAATAAAAGTTCCAAAGTTAAGCAAAGTCATTATTAACATTATTTATGAGTGTCGAGGGAGCGAGCTTTATTTTTCTAAGTCAAAAAACATACTGCAGACAATTTTTTAAAGTGCAAGAATATTTAACGATTTTAGACAATATAAAATAAAAAAAATGTTTTCCATTCTAGTTTGCCAACCAAACAGGAAGCGGCAAAATTGGCAAAAGCGTGAGCAAATTATTACATTAATTTCGAACGCGTGGCTTTTCATAAGTTATACAAAAATAATATTAATTTCCCAAAAAACTATACCAGAGTACTCCATTATCGACATTAACAAAATAATTTTGTTAATAATTTTGACTAGACAAGTTGAGTAGAAGTAGAAAATACGGGTTTTTATTTAGTGGCAAGTCTTTTATTATCAAAACTAAATTTTCTTTTTTATATAATTGATTGATAACGCTAATTCCCGGACATATTTTGCCAGTTTTAAGGGCAAATATTCACAAAATTATTCGAATTATTTGTATAATTAATAATGGTTGACAATTTCATCATCACTGACATGAATTCCAATAATAAATGTTCACATTACACACAATCTTATTTTCAAATTAAACTGTTTGAAATATACAGCGATTTTTACAATAATTACCGAAAAAGCGCACTTCTTCAAATGTTCCATTGGCATTAAATGTATTGAGAAATAAATTGCTTGACGACTCGACTCAATGATCAAAGGAATCCTCAAAAATCAAAGAACACAATAAGTACCTATATAATTTTGTTGCATCGTGAGAAAAACTAGTCACTTGCCCAACTTCTACTATATTGATGAATTCATTACCAAGAAAGCCATTATAAAAAGATTTTATTAATGAGGATTCTACAGCCATTAGACACACAAAGTAATGGCTTTTTCTAATTTGGTTTGCTTGACTTTCATTTTTGCGTTGTGTTCGATTGCGAGATGAAACATGATTGCATGGTTTTCAAGTTTTTACCTAATTTTAGATATTAATTTAATTTATTAACAGTTAACTTTTTCTGCGACAAAACATATTAATTGATGAAGGCATGCATTGAGTGATCGATTGCGTAAACTGTTCAGCACATGTATATGCTTTCCTTTGTACACAGGTGACAACTAAATATCCATCCTCGTCATATAGGTACAAGTAAAACAAGAAAGTGCCCAGGTAGGAAAATTTAATGTTTAGTCAAACCCGAACAGAAAAATGCCTGTTCTAAATGTAACGGGAACAATTTCGTATTCGTCACTTAAGAAAAGGACTGACTATTCAATTCAAGATTTAGTGTTTGACTTTTAGAGAAAAGCCGATGAAATTAGCGGAACTTTTCAAATGTTCTGAAAATGGTGCTAAAAATTGATGAAATTTGTTGATCACTTTTGGTAATTGTTCTTGTGGTTGATCACAAAACTTAAACGATTTTACAGTGGCTAATTTGAAAGCGATTTGAAAAATATTAGTTGTCACTAAGCGTATTCATTTGAAACAATATAAGTATAGGGTGATTAAAAATTGGAGAGAACAAAAAAATGTTGAAAGTTCTTTTTCAAAAATTTCTAGAAGATATCAGTCGAAAATCGAATTTCTACTTTGTTATTAAGTATTATTTTGAAATCCCAGATTTGATTTGTGGTTGCCTATTGGAATACTTATTTAGTATTCGAAAAGAAAAATTACCATCTTTGCGCCAATATCCTGTATGTTACTCATGTGTTTCATGCTGTATGTTGCTGGAAATTTTAATTTGCAAACAAAACAGGAAATGAGCGAAACTTGGCAAAAACGCCAGTAAATGATTATACTGCAATTTTTCGCAAATGCGTATATTTTCAACAGTTACACCAAAGTAACACAGCTTTACCCCAAAAAAAACTATACTAAATCACTCAATTGATGTTTTTTGGTGATATTTCGGGAAACAATCCGCGGCCTCGATAATTCACCCTAATAAACCCGAGTAAACTTTTCCAGCAACCGTTTGCTGACTTAATTCCGGTTTCAACTTAGTTACATACCCGATTGAGGAACATTTACCTGCGTAGTTCTAGCCGAACCTTGCTCTATTCCATTATAATCTGAAGATTAATTTCTTTGTAATTGTATTGATAACGTTAATTACCAGTCAACGTTAATATTGAAGCCTTTGCATTATTCCCGCATGCTTTGTCCGCTTTTAAAGCACACATTCGCAAAATGAATCGCAACATTTGTATGATTATTGCGAGAATCAAAACATGCAAATGAATTACGCAATAGTGGTGGAAACATCAGTACTGAACAATATCTTCAATTATTAGAGCTGCTTAATAAGTACTAATTAAACTAATGTTTGTCCACTAATAATAAACATGCATATTAAGAGAGTACGGTTCTGGTTTAACGTTATCTAAAGTGAAGTGTTTTTATCAGATCCATGTATACAAATAATAAAAATATTTCTATCAGAAAAAAGCTTAATAATGCACTGGTTATCAGAATTTGACACGATTGGTAATTTATCCATTATGTATAATAATCGTTGAAATGGAATAAAATGTTTTGCAGGCAATTAATTCGAAAAGTTCCTGTTTAGTCATCCATTTTAATTCTATGAATAGCCTACGTATTAGCGGAAAATAATAAAATAAATTAATAAATATATTGAAAAAATGTGCGCCTAAATGCCACATAGAACGTGCCAAAAGAAACTAACTGTAAGACAATAGAGGTAAAATTACTGCGTGGGATATCGACGGAATTAATTTGATAAATTTTAAACAGCACTTAACGCAACATTAACAATAACAAAACAGCGATAAATCAAAAACTAGTAGGCCTAAAATTATGAGACTAGCACTGAACGATAGATAGTAAGTTTAAACATTGCGTATAAAAAATTCATACCTGTACGTCATTAATATCCATTTTTTTCTTGAATTAATCACAAGAGCACACGAAAACGGCACGCTGACACCATCGTCTACTTTGTATTTACTCTAATTATATGACGTCACGATACAGACTCAAATTCGTAAACGATCGTAACAATTCGGTAGGTGCTCGTACTAACTGGCGCTTTAGAATAAAATGGAGGTGGAGAAACAGAAGGAAATAAACATAGTGGCAGTCAAGTGAGCGGGGAAAGCATCGTCTTCATGTGTTTCGATCTCGATGCATCCTTCGGAAAGTGAAAACAAAACGCGATAAGTGCCAAACACATTTTTGTTACCATTTTACCGCAGCCAATGCCTTCACATCCATTCGTTCTCTTTGCTAAAAATACAGTGCGTAAACTATCCAAAACATGGCGTTCTTGATCGGCTAATTAGCCCCATTCAGTGCTCGTTTGTTTTCGTATCTCTCACATGTTTAGGAATCCAGAAGTCTGTGCCTTTTCCCTTGATCCATCCCATTTCCAACATGGCAACTTGGGGGTGGCTTCGCACAGCAACAGGTCGCACTTCCGATGAATAACAATTCCCGATTTGTAAATAGTGTTTGTTTACATCGATGCCGTACTGTCAACACACATTTGTTTTTCCAATTTAATTACAATCCATTTTGGAGTTAACATTTTACGCCTTTTCAAACAATTCCGATTGTTTTTGCTTGAACTCTGAAGGCAATAACAAAATAAGTATAACAATAACAATGCAGTAATAAATAAACGTTGTTAAAATTATAATGTACGAATTGACCAAAGTAAAATGGGAAGTTCAAGTTAAAATAGCACTAAATTCCAAAAAAAATGTGAAAATATTTCTCAAATTGGTTTACTTGAAACATTTTGTCTAACTTTTCGTCACTAACACCTGCGAGTACCTTCAGAATTGTGTCGCTCGAAACAAACACAACTCTGAAGATGCAGGCCACTTGTGCTTGGCGAAACGTCAGAAAGAAATTATTTTCCGTTACGGCTTAAAACCATGAAAAAATCACCAATTTCAACCAATGGCTGCCAAAAGCTTAACTGTTTTGATAATCCTTTAAGTCTTAGAATTTGCAGTAACGGTAGAGAAAAAAAAAGTATAGTCTGTCCCAAGCTATTTGGCAGTGACGTCATTATTGAGACGCCATATTAAAATTTACTCTTGCCCGAGATTGGTTTTAAAGATTTTGTTTTATTTTGCGTGGTGGTCAGCACGAGGGTTTCCCGATGATTTGAAAACATGAATTTTGAATTTTGTTTATTGAATCGGATATTATTGTAATAGCACAGTTTTATAAGTTTTTAAATTACTATTTTTTTCACAGTTGCTGAATTAAACATTCGTCACTAGTACTGCTTGATCTAAGTGTAGAAATTTAATTTTTCTCTATAAAATACCTCAAGTCCAGTTACAAACGTGAGCTTAAATTTGCAGAATGAGTACAATTAATTGGAAAAATTCATCACGTTCTTCAGCTTAGTTATTAATTTGCATCAATTCTGTAATTCATAGCGCTAACTGGGAGCATTAAAGTGTGTTATTTTAGTGGTTAAATTATGAGGAAATTATAAGACAAAAATTATGGACTCCTGCAAGATCTAAGCGATTGTGGCAAAAAAAAATGAGCAAATTAAACCGTTGTTCTTCCTCACAATATTGTTTAGGTATTTTCAGTGCTCGAAACAAAAACACACACACAAGATATACAAAATGTTTTCACAGAAACTGCCAACACTCGCTAAGAAATCAAATCAATAATTTTAATATTCTTTTATACTTCCGCGAATTGTAACAATTTGAGGAAAGACACGTTAATAACATCAAATTTGCTTCTCGCTCGGTAACGGACAAGCAATAGAAAAATAATAACTATAGCGTCCCTGCCAAAAAACTTGGGGAGAGACTATACTAAATATCCAACGAGTTTTTTTTATCACAAAACTTATCTTCTTGCAATTATTTTATAGTTAAAATATCGATTAAAATAAAGCAAATGTGAAATATTTAAAGTGGAAAAACGGCATTTGCTTTGAATTAAAAACGTTCCACTCAAAACAACCATTTTTCGGTACCAAAGTCCAGTTTTCTGCTCATTTGATTAAAATGTATAAAAGCTGTTTGCTTTAAAAAAATATATATAATTAAGACCATAAAAGAGGTGTTATGGTTATGTCATAGATTATAGAACCTGAATGAAACAGATTTATTCAATTTTTTCAAAAAGAAACTCAAAATATTTTTTTTACGCAGCACATCCTAATTATATTTTAAATTTAAAGAAAATTCAAATACAATTTTTATTTGATTTTAACTGAAATATGTAGTTTTTTCGCTAAAAATAATAATAAAATCCAGATTTCCCATTTTCAATTGAAGTGTTGTCCTTTGTACATGTTTATTGATTCGATGTCATCATCCATTCTATCAATTGTAATTTTTACTCAAAAAAAGACTTTTTTTGCAAAAGTTGCACCCATTGACTTCTAGTTTTCGTCAAGGCAACTTTTCTTCTATCTAGAAATTCTAGATAGAATCAGTCGACATTTATTTTTGTTTTTAAATTTGATTTTTCCATAACAAATTGTTATGGAATTTTTGTATTTTACCTTAAAATCGAAATATACACCACATTTATTCAAATTTAGTCAGTCAATAATTTTTAAAGATTTACATGAATTTGTATTAGAATTTCAAGTAGAATGCAACATTCCCTTAAAACGTGATGTTTTCCATTCTGAAAAAGTAAATTTTGTCTGTGACCTGAAATTGGGCACCGTGTATCCAAGAAATGATAATGGAAGCAATCCGGACGAGTGCACTAACAATGTACGTATAAATCAATAAATTTTTGCCTAAAACTGGAAACAATGGAAAGGGAACAATTGATTAAAAAATAAAGTTACCATATTAATTAAATTATCACTCGATGAATGCATTTGGTCATTTTGTCGTAATTTTTTGTTGAGCAATGTAGAAAATGAAAATTCGAATAGACTTGATATATCAATCTTTTTACCCTCTTATCTTTTATATCACCTTTTTACATCATTTTTTAAAAATTGCACAAATGTCTACAAATCCATCAAATTTAGTTACACTTTTGCAAATGCAATTTTACACTACAAATGCGAAAATCACAAATAACCTTATTAAAGAAAAGATATGAAACACACACTTTTTTTTAAATTTGAATCAATAAACCAACACATAATTTGAAATTAATTAGCTTCGGATCGAAAAACTCAAAATATAAACTTATAAAGAAAAACATATAGAGGATTAAAAACAAAAAA